GAGTGTTTTTCAGTGGCATCTTGAGAAAGGGTATGGAGAAGTCAGTGTTTGATATCTCTTATATTGGCTTTGTACTGCTTTATAATCAACTACTGCAAAACTTAGTGGCTTAAACCACTTTTCTGTAGTTTGATGGTCAGGGCTTTGTGCAGCTTGACTTGGGATGAAGGGTATGTTTCACTCTCAGTTGGCAGGTTGTCACTGGTCATGGCCTTCTGCCTTTGTTCTCCACACTTAAGACCTAGTGGCTGGATTTTCCTAGACTGTGTGCTAGGCCTGGCTCCCTATTGCCTTTGAGAAGTCATTTTGATTATTGTCCTTGACCTGTTTTCTTCCTGAATACTTACAGGATTTTACTTCTCAGTTTTGGTGTTAGGGAGTAGTGAGACATGGTCTCTTTTTCATTCAGTGTGCAGCATACTCAGGGGAACTTTTAATATTTTGAGATAATGTCTTCCTAAATAGCCCAGGCTAGCCTTGAACTTGCAGTATTTTTGACAGACTTCCAAATACGAAGATTGCAGGAGTCTAATACTGTACCCTGTTTCAAGGGAGCCTTTTAATTAGGAAACACATATTCCATTCTGGGAAAATTTTGAATCTTTAATTTCTTTTAGGTTTAATTTTATAAACTTTAGTCCATTTGGGGGAGGGTGTGAAGGTGCATACCTTGTGCATACCAGGGACTTGTGCATACCAAAGTATCACTGAGCTATCGCCCTGAAGATACAGTTAAACTATTTTTTCTGTTATTATTCAAAGCCTTTTATTTGCAGTTGATTTGAAAGTTTATTGTTATGATTTATGATTTTTCTCATGGTCAGGGCCTAAGGTTTAAAGGTATGTTCTAAATTAGTTTTTTTTTTTTTTTTAAATTTCAGTGTAATTGTTTTTTTTTTTTTCTAAATATTAGTTTGTGTGTGTATGTGTTGTATATGTGTGTGGATACATGTGCCACAGTGGGACTGTGGAGGGCGGAAGATAACTTTATAGAGTCAGGCCTTTCCTTCTACTTTTACATGTGTTCTGGGGATCAAATTTTAAGTTGCTAGGCTTGCACCACAAGTGCTTTTAACTGCTGAGCCATCTGGAAAGCCTAAGGTATTACTAAGACAAGGTCTCATGTAGCCTAAGCTAGCCTCAGAGTCACTTATGTAGCCATGCTAGCCTTGAACTCCTGATCCTTCTGCCTTCAGCTCCTAAGTCTTGGAATTACAGGCTTGCATCACCAATCCTGGCTACTGTGGTGTGTCACTCTCTGATCCTTCAAAATCTCCCCAGGCTCCAGTCCTGAGTTGAGAACTGTGAGGCACTTAAGGCAAGAAACTACCAAAGGAGAGTTCATTCTGAACATAGGTCAGTGTGAAATTAGCACGAAAATGGAAACCGTGGGCTCATAATCCTATTGAAAAGGCCTATTGAAATGTTAGCCTGGGAAAGGACTAACGAATAGGTTCAGTTAGTTTAAGTGAGAATAGAGGGCTGGATCCCTTGTAAGTAGTCACCCACTGAACAGAAAAGCCACCACGCTTTTGGTGTGCCCTTTCTTTTGCAGATGTCCTCTGGCCACTCAAGTATGATTTCTTCTCTCTCTCTTTGGGAGGCTTCTGAGAGTCTTGCAGGAGAATAAGGAGAAAATCTCTTTAAAAAGAGAATGTCAAGATTAATCTTCATTGTCAACTTGTCTGGATTTAGTAGCACGCCTCAGGGCATGTTTGTGAGGCTGTTTGGATGAGGAGAAGACCCACCGTGACTATAGACAATGTCCTGAGGCCTAGGGTCCTGTACCGAGGAAGGGGGAAGCGAGCTAGGGGCCAGCACCATTTCCCTGCTTCCTGACTGGATAGCATGTGACTAGTAGCCTCAGGCTGTAAGTCAGAATTAACTATTCTTTCCTCAGTTGCCAGATACATATTTTACCACAGCATTGAGAAAAGTGACTAATTCAGGTAGGGACTGAAATGACAATAGATTCAAGGCATGTCATTCAGTGATTTATTTATTTTTTTGAAACAGAATGTTCTCATGTATCCAGTGCTGTGCTTTTGTTTTTGTTTTTTGAAACAGGGTCCTACTATGTAGCGTTGGCTGGCCTGGAACTCACTGTGTAGACCAAGCTGGCCTTGAATTCCCTAGGGCTGGGATTAGAGCTGTGTGCCACCATACCTGGTTTATGAGGTGCTAAGAATATAACCCAGGGCCTTGTGCATGCTGCCACACTTCCTAGCCCCCACCCCTCCACACTGTAGAGTGTGTGTATATGTATATATACATTTAAAGGCCTTGAAAGCGTCATACATTTCCGTTTCTTATTGTGGATTTTTAAAACAAATCATAAAGAATGGTTAGTAGACTTAGAGAATTTCTGCTTAGCCTAGAGCAAATTTACCAGTATAAAGCAAAGAGAGCGGGCCAGTGTCGCTTCATGCTCATAAAAGCAAAGCCTTGTCACTCGAGTTCTTTATGTAAGTCATCTTTGCTTGGGGAGCTAGGTCAGCTGCCAGCTGCCAGGAGGCCTGTCTCCTGAGGAGGCCTATTGCCCTTTTCTCTTCTTCGTAACTTAGTTTCTGTAGCACAGGGCAGATGTGGGTGGAGCATTTCAGAAGGAAGTACTGAGGGCATCATGTGCTGAAATAATTTTATCCCATACATACTCATTTGGTGTACATATGTGTCTGTACATGCTTATGTGCATGTATGGCTGCATGTACATGTGTGTTCATGCAGGTGTGGAGGCAAGAGGTTGGCATCTGTGGTCTTCCTCAGTTATTCCCCACTTTAGTTTTGGAGACAGGGCCTCTGCTGAGCCTGGAGCTGCCTGGACTGGCTGCCCAGCAGGGCCTGGGAGTCCTCCTTTCTCTGTATCCCTTGGCACTGGGATTACAGGCGTGTACTAGTAACCCTGGCTACTTCAGTGGCTGCTGGAGACTCTGATTGCACGGCAAGCACTTCCCTGACGACACCACACTCTCAGTCCTCATAGTTAGTGTTTTATTAACTATTTTAGTGTGCCAGGCAATAGGTTTCACTGGGATATTTTCGTATATTTGTGTTGCATACTTTTCCTGTATCCATCCCATTCCCTTCTCTTGCTTCTTTGCAGCATCTGCTGCTATAATTTTTCATATGACATTTGTCTTACTTTAGCTTTCACTCTCCCATCAAAATGCTAACTACTCCTGAGGCTCTGAGTTCAGATTAGATGTGGCAAACTCAGCATAGTCTGGCCATAGAAACTTTTGCAGACTCTTTAACTCCTGTCTTTCCCCTACCGTACAGGATAACCTTCAGGTCTGTGCAGATTTAATTTGAAATCTGTATCAGGAGAGTTCACAATTGACACCTGGGCCTGCTACCTACACAACTGTGGCCTTCTCTAACTCCCCCTCAAAAAGCCATGTCTATTCTGGTGGATTTCATAAGACAGTCATAGCTACAGTATCCAGTATTTATGTGAACTAACCATGTGGTGGACGGTTTGTAACTCTGTTAGGGGTTGTCTGCTCTCCACCTCGTACTAGGGATTGCATGTAGGACCTTGAACATACTGAGCAAGTGCCTGCGACTGACCTACATCAGCTGTCTTAGTTTGTGACAGAATCTTACTAAGTTGCTCATGCTGACCTTGAGTTCAGTCTGGAGTACAGATAGCCGTTGACCTTGGGATCTTACTGCCTCAGCCCTCCATAAAACTGGACTTACAGACCTTCTATACCATGCCTAGCCTTATAGGCTTTTATAGAAGGGTCCTCTGTGTTATATTTATGTACATTTTATGGCTTTCCTAAAAAGCTATAGTGGAATATAATTAAAAAAACAATGAACTAGACCTTGTAGCTCTGGGTTCTAATCTAATCTGGTAAAACACTGATTTTGTTTTATTTATTTTACTATTATTATTTAAAATTACATATTTATTTTTTGTGTTTGGGTGTTTTGCCTGCATGTGCACCATCTACATGCCTGGTGCCTGAGGAGGCAAGAAGACGGTGATGGATTCCTTGGAAGTGAAGTTACAAACAAATGGTTGTGAGCTGCAGCATGTGTACTGGGAGTTAACTTGGGTCCTCTGAAAGAAGAGTCAATGCTCTTAATTGCTGAGCCATTTCTCTAGCCCCCATTGGCTTTATTAGACTTTCATTAGACTTCATTTTTGCCCCTGACTTGTCTGTTTTAGCAAGTGATTAATCTATAATTTTATAATTGAGTTAATATGTCACATTTTTCTAAGTCAGTTTATTGCTTAAGTATATTCTAATGGAAATGTATTATTTTATTTAGTTTCTTTAAATGGCTGTAAAATTTGTATCTAAATATTTTTGTTTCATATTGCTGCATTTACTATGATGTAGAGACAATAAAAACAGTGATCTATTTTATGTAATTAAAAATTTTTATTTTTATTTTCTGTGTGTGTGTGTGTGACACACACACACACACACACACACACACACACACACACACACCCATGCACCTATGGGCAATGCCCATGGAAGCCAGAAGAGGGCATCAAATTCCCTGGAGCTGGAGTTTCAGATGGTTTTGAGTTGCTACCACATAGGTGTTGGGAATTGAACCTGGGTCTTCTGCAAGAGCAGCAAGTGCCCTAGCCATCTCTCTGACTCCAATTTAGATATTCTTAAACAGGGTGCTATTTTACTTAGTTAAATCTGTTTTTATAACTGTTTTCTGGCTTTATTTATTTTAAATACTGAACATTTCTTCTTTAAAATTTTAAGTTGTGGGGCTAAAGATGTAGCTCAATGGCAGAGCAATTACCTAGCATGCATGTAATTCTCAGAACTGGGGGGAGGGATAAAAATAACTAAGATGAACCAAAAGAGCAAAAAAACCCATCATTTATTAAACCAATCTCCCCCCAAAAAACAAAAAACAAACAAATCCACCATCTATTAAAGTACTCTAAGTCATTTTGTGTTGTTAGCTAAGATGAATTGGTGTTTTCTTTCTTTTCACTTAAGTATCATGTTTCTTTCCAGAGTGAAAAGCTTTTGTTATATGATACAGTCCAGAGTGAGCTTGAGGAGAAGATAAGAAGGCTTGAGGAGGACAGGCACAGCATCGACATTACCTCAGGTCAGGGCTGCGTGTGGTGTGATGTCCCAGAAAGCCTCAGTTTTCTCGCATCAATACTATGCAAATGCAGTGTCCTAGCTGGAGGGAGCAGGGGAGGAGGCTTCTGAAGAATGTGATCAGGTTCAGGTTGTTGCGTGTATTAAGAGTCACACTCTAGAAAGATGTAAAAAGGACGGCATAGGAAAAGGGACAGAACAGAAGTGTGACAAGAGCTAGTGTGGGACTGTACTGGAAGACACCCACCTGTGTTCCTCCAGGCAAGTGGATGGATGTTACGTGGTGATAGGTTTTGCCTTGGGGAAAGAAAACACTAACCATGTTTCTTAGATCAGGTCAGTATGAGTTGTGGCCATTTCAGGGTGATTATAGGAAAGTTTTCTGTTGTGCACTGATAGAAGTTTTACGGGCTTGGCCCCACAGTTCTTGAGTATGTATTGTGTTTGTGTTTTGCGTTTTGTTTCTCTGCTGTCATTGGGGCAGAGGAGATGAGATTAGTGTGGGCGTTCCCTTGCCCACGAGCTGAGTGTCTGTGGGCAGTTGCTAGTTTTTCTAAATCAGTGTTCTTGTGGAAAAGTGAAGTTAGAAGAAGAGCTACCTCAGGGCTGGTGAGATGGCTCACTGGTAAATGTGCTTGCCCCAAGGCTGCAACCAGAATTTGATCCCCAACATCCATGTGGTGGAAGGAGAGAACCCACTCTCACACGTTGCCCTCTGGCCTCCACGTTTATGCTGTGGTGTGCGAGTGCGTGCGTGTGTGCGCGCGCGCACGCACGCACATACACACACACACATACACACAACACAATGAGTAAATAAGTAAATAAGTGTAAAAAAGTGAAAACAAAGAGAAGACAAACTGCATGTGTGTGGTTTCCTTGGAGTTTTGTATGTAAATAAGCAGTGAACATGAAGTTATATGCTGCTCTTTCTTCATGTGGCTACCGGAAGTCAGCTCACACTTTGATTCCCTGCAGAGCTGTGGAATGATGAGCTTCAGTCAAGAAAAAAGAGGAAGGACCCTTTCAGCCCCGACAAAAAGAAGCCAGTCGTAGTTTCAGATATCCTTTCCCACTTTCTCTGGGTTCTCACATGGTGCCTGTCTTGGTTCCTGACCTTCCTTGGACTGCCCTGGAGCAAGCACATGGGGACTTAGAGAACGACTGAAGGCAAGGTGGACTGCTGACTGAGGAGGCGGGAGGAAGAGGAGCTCCAGCCCTCAGCTCAGCCACAGGACTGAGGGGAAACAGCTGCAGATGGTACAGTGTGCTTACTTCGAACACGCACTGTTTGTTGGTTTTGAGACAAGGTCTTGTATGCGGTCCAGGCTGGCCTTGAACCCGTAGTCGTTTTACATCCGTTCCCTGAGTTCTGGAGTCACACATGTGTCTGCCACCCTGGGCTCCAAAGTGTGTGATGTTCCCACTGCTAAGTTGACCTTGACTTTTCACGTCCATATATAGTGTATATGCTGCAGGATCTTGATATTCTTGAGGACTGGACAACAATTAGAAAGGTATGTTCGACAAATGGTGCGACAGCAGTGTGTTTTTATAGTCTGCCTTTTAGGAGTCCATCAACATATATTGTAAATACTTTGCTTAACATTGGGGTAGAGAATATTTTAAGAAGTAGAGACATGTCAGTAATTGTATTTTTCCTGTAATAATGTAATAATTTATATAAGAGTATGGAATAGCATATTTAGTTTGCCCTAGAATATTCGGGGTTAGAGCTTTGTCTATTTCTGGTGTATAAGGCACCCAGTAAATATTTGTTGAATGAATACAGTGAACCTATGTATCTTATATTCTATTAATAATTACTGAGGTGTGAGTGGACTCTTTGATGCTTGTTTAAGAATGGAGCTATGTTATTCACATGCCAGTGCCCATAAATGTACACTATTTGCAAATATATATTTTTAGAGTCTTGATTTCATTTGAGTGGCTAACATTGATCTTAATTATTACTTTACTGCTGAACATTATCCTTTAAAAACTCTGAGTGAAACTAATTTCTTAGGAATTCAGTTGATTCAACTATCATTAAAGAGAAAGTCATTTTTCTGAAAAGTAATATGCCAAATGTATCCATGTATCTGATAAATAGAGCTTATATATGCAAAGGATAAGAAGCATTTAAATCACAATATTATCTGGTCCTTTATTTTCAGTAGCTTCCCCTTACCCCTCAAAAAGTTTTAAAGATAGATGTATGTAATTACAATAATCTCTTACTTGAAAATGTAAAAAAAAAAAAAAAGAATGGAGCTATGTATCTTGACTACTTTTTTATTTATTTCTATTATCCTTTTTACTTTTTATTTTGCCCAGACTGCCCTAGAATTAATTTTGTAGCTCCCATAGTCTTTGAACCCGTGGGCCTCCTGCTTAGGCTTTCCTGGAAGCTAGATTACAAGCCTGTGCCACCAGGTCTAGCTTGAGGCTTGCTTTCTTAATTAAAATTTCCGTTCTTATAAGTTGCCCAGAGAAATGACTTAAGCTGTTAATCGTATCTATGGGAGAAGGTATTCTCTGTGGTTCTAGACATTAGTCTGGAGGCTGGGGATGCCTCTCCCCCAGCACCAGAAGAAAATGAGAGCATCTAGTGTTTATATTCTAGTCTGTTGTTGAACTGTATGTGTTATAGATAGCAAAATATATTTTCAGTCTGAACTCACATTTCTCCCTTTTCCCTTCTTTTTCCTAAGGCAATGGCTACATTGGGTCCACACCGAGTGAAAACAGAACGTAAGTCCTGAGTTGTGACGTGCTCTGTGGAGAGCTGTTGAGTCAGGGTGGTTAGTCACCTGTGTATTGAGGACAATCACATCACTTGGTTCCATTTCTCAGCAAACTCAGCACGACGTTACGAGGGACTCTGGACTCTTCTGCTTCGTGTAAAAGTTTGGAAGTTTCCATGTTGTCTGTTTCTTTTTTCATTATTAAGCCGTATTCTTATTTATATTAGATCTATAATTCAAAATGCATTTACCCAAGTTTTTTTTTTTTTTTTTTTTTTAATTAGCCCATTACTTCATTAGGGGAGGTGTTGGGAAGTCACAAATTGATGAATTGGTTCCAGGGAGTCCAGAATCTCTGGAGTTGTGTACCATATTTCTTAGAAGTGCTCTCTCTCTCTCTCCTCTCTCTCTTCATTATCTATATATTTTCTTGGCAGAGATTAGAATTTTATCAGTGGACTACTAAGAGATTTATCTGCTACTAAGATTTACATGTTTTGTTTTGAGATAGTTCTTTGCTGTCTGGAAATTATGACCTGCTTGCCTCTGTCTCTTGAGTGCTAGGATTATATATGCATTTTGTAAAAGTTTTTTTTTCTTTTTATTTATTATATTATGTGTACAGTGTTCTGCCTGCATGTATACCTGAACGCCAGAAGAGGGCAGACCTCATTATAGATGGTTGTGAGCCACCATGTGGTTGCTGGGAATTGAACTCAGGACCTCTAGAAGAGCAGATAGTGCTCCTAACCTCTGAGCCATCTCTCCAGCCCTATATATGCATTTTTAAGCTTTTTTTTTTTTTTTTTTTTAGTTTTTCAAGACAGGTTTCTCTGTGCAGCCTTGGCTGTCCTGGACTCAAATTTGTACACTAGGCTGGCATCGAACATCGAACTCAAAGAGCTATCTGCCTGCCTCTGCCTCTAGAGTGCTGAGATTACAGTGTGTGCCACTGTGCCCAGCTTCTTTTTATTCTTTTTTTTTTTTTTTTTTGCAGCTCTAAGATAACTGTCCAAGTTGTGATGAACATTGATGTCTGTCTTTTTTTCTTTTAAGAACTTTTTGGGTAATCCTTTTTTTAAATATTTTTTTTTTTATTTTTAAATAATTTTATACATTCACTTGTATCTCAGCTGTAGCCCCCTCTCTCTTTCCCTCCCAGTCCTTCCCTCCCGCCCCCCTTCCGAGTCCACTGATAGGGGAGGTCCTCTTGTCCTTCCATCTGACCCTAGCTTATCAGGTATCTTCAGGACGGCTGCAGTGTCCTTATCTGTGGCCTAGTAAGGTTGCTCCTCCCTCGAGGGCTCCCTCCCTCCCTGGCTCAATGAGCCAGTCATTGTGTTCATGTCAGAAACAATTCCTGTCCCCCTTACTATGGAACCCACTTGGATACTGAGCTACCATGGGCTATGACTGAGCAGGGGTTATAGGTTATATCCATGCATGGTCCTTGGTTGGATTGGGTAATCCTTTAAAGGGTAATGGGGTTAGATTTTTAAAAAGCATGTTTTAAATATTAAGGAAGAGTTTCTTGTTCCATGTCAAAAGTATCTTTAAGAGCTACTTATCTGGGCATTGGTGGCGCACGCCTTTAATCCCAGCACTGGAGGCAGAGGCAGGCAGCTCTTTTTAAGTTTGAGGTCAGCCTGGTCTACAGAGTGAGTCCCAGGACAGTCAGGGCCACACAGAAAAACCTTGTCTCGAAAAAAACCAAAAAAAAAAAAAAAAAAAGAAAAAGAAAAAAACACTTTTTTTTTTTTTTAATGGTTCCTTTAAACTTTATTTCGTATCAGGAAATTGCAGCTGTATTATACCTGTGTACTGCGCTTGACTGGAGGGAACAGATGCGTTCTCTAGAATGTTTTTTGTGCATGGGTTTTTTGCAGCCATGTGTGTATGTGTGTTCACATGCCTGGACATGTGTGGGTGCATGAGTGTGTATATGTGGAAGCTAGAAATTTGCCCTTGATGGCTCTCCACTTTATTTTCATCCACTGGGGTAAGATTTCTTGTTGAATAGAGTGCCGGTTCTGGTAAGTCTAGCTGCCCTGAATGCTCCGGGGCGCCTCTGTCATTGTCCCCCGTGCTGGGATGCAGGCAGCTGCTGTGCCTACCTGCTGTTCTGTGGCTTCTGGTCCTCACACTGGTGCAGCAAGCCCGTCGAAGATTAGAGCCTACCACCCAGCTGAATAGCTCTTTCCTGGCCTGTTTTAGCTTAATGTTCTACTAGCTTTAATCATAACATTTGCCTCCATTTGTCCATTTATTTTTAAGAATGACAAATTCCACAATTTTTTAAAGAAAAATTTATTGTTACTGCATGTGAAGTATGTGTGATTGATGTGTGTGTTTGTGATGTATGGGTGGGTTTACCTGCTGAGCCATCTCACTGGCCCCGTTGAAACTAATTGTCTCCTTGCTCATTTTGCCTCCTGACTGGATTATAAGCTTTACACCATATCTCTGTTTCTTTTTCCTCAGCGCCCAGCACAGTTCCTTGTGTATAGGATAGACCTAGACATGTGGTGAACGAACAGCTGGAAAACAAATGCATATATACTCATTCACTCCTTTCTGCAGAGCAGAGACTGTTTTAGGTTTTTGAAGACAGTAGGGAAGGAAATGAACTTGGAGCTCCCTTCAGGGGGTGGAGGAGTTCTGTGTGCATAACTAAGTTAGTACCAGATCTTACAGCTGTTAGGAAGTCCATGTGGATGGTGACGATGACTGAGAAGTGACAGCTGACTGGTGGAGGTGCCTGTGTGGTGTGGCTCCCACAGCGTGTTTCCGTAAGGAGCGTGTTTTCCCGCAGCAGTGCATCCGCTGCTGCTGAGTCATTGCTGAGAGCTGTAAATGCAAGTTCTACTTAGGAGAATGAAAGTTCTGGGAACCTCTCACATTAAGTCTGCTTCTTCCCAAGTGTGAGATGCCTTATAGGGAAGGAGATTGGAAAAGGAATTTTCAGTGGAAACATGACAAGCCATATTTTCATGACTACTTCAAAATGGTGCTGGAAATTAATCATCCATGTGCCTGCTTACCTTCCTGGCCGTCTTTACGATTCATTGCTTACCTTTGTTTGTATTACAGTGAGCTCCAGAGTAAGGGATGCTCTTGTTTTTACTGTATTACTTACTAGATTCCTATGTAAGACTATTTCAAATGTTTTTTATACACACATATGAGCATGGATTACTGTTGTCTGGCACTATCTTATTAACATAACAGTTGTTTAACTGATTCTTTTAGCACCTGTGAAACTGGAAAAACATCTGCACAGTGCTAGATCTGAAGAGGGAAGACTATATTATGATGGTGAATGGTATATACGTGGACAAACAATATGTATTGATAAGAAAGATGAATGTCCTACAAGGTAAGAAGCTTCCTGTCACTTTATTGTTGCTGAGAATTGCTGTTTTACACCTGTTGCCAATCAACATTTGTAGCCGCTCTAGGATATTTTTCATGTCAGCATTAGTTTGGATTTTTTGAGTAAGATCCAATCACGTGTACACAATGGTTATTTTTACTTATATAGTAGCATTTATATAGTATGTCAATGGTAGACTTTATATTAGAATTGTACACAGCACAGAGGTCATCTGGACTATGAGGCATCTGCAGTCCTGTGTGTGGGAGCCTGGCAGAGCCCCTGGCTGTTCAGACAGCACAAGGCTCACCTAGGGTCTCGGCCACCTCCATCCTCAGCCTCCTGGTTGGAAAACCCTGTGTGTGTAGCATTCCTGGTCTCCCTAGAGGTTATCTTATAAGAACAAGGACCTTTGTGCTCCCAACATGTAGCTACATAGAGCGTTGGAGGGCAACCTAGATACATGAGCTTCCATTTCAGACAAGAAGTATTAATTAAGGCAGGAAAGAAAGGGAAAATTAATGAAAACTTTAAGAGTACCTAGGGAGGTTGGGGAGATGGTTCAGCTGCTGAGAGCAGCTCTCCAAGGGGACTCTGGTTTGTTTTCAGCACCACATCTGTCAGTTAATGCCAGCTCTATGGGACCTGATGCCCTCTCCTGGCCTCTGTGGGCACTATACACAGTTTGTGCACTGTGCAGCTAAAACATTCACATGCTAAAAAAAAAAAAAAAAAAAAAAAACAAAACTTTAAGTAAAGAGTACTTTGTAAACTATAACTTGAAAACTAGAAATTGCTTTTTAAATTTTAATCTAGACTTAAAGTTTATGTAGTCATATAGCCTATAAGTCATCTTGCTGTTGTCTTTTTGAAAATATTAATGAATTATTGCTTTCATCCTCTCGGGTTAAAGGGTGAAAGGTTAGAGTGTCAGCTTGCTACAGTAAGAAACACTTTTTTTCAAGATAACATTTGAGTTTAATTTAAATTCTTATTTTGAAAGCTTAATTGGTTTGTGACTTCATCTTTACAGTTTTGGGTTTCAGGAACATGCATAACAACTTTTCTCATAGAAATTTATTTTATTATTATGATGTCAATTTGTTTGATACTCCAGAATTCTCTTGTTTTATTAGTTTTGAGGCATTTTACTACTACTTAGCATTAAAGTGGTGAAAAAGAGATGATAGTGAAAGAGATGAATCTTATGAAAATAGATTATAAGTATTTTTTTACATAAAGATTAGTATTGAAAAAAAAAGTCAGTACAGATGGTCTGACACTGGGAATTGATAGGTTAGTATTAAAAGATGTCCTACAGTCGAGACTAATAGTAAGGCTGTGATGCTACTGAGTAATGGCTTTCAGTTCACTGTCCTTTTGGAGGCTGAAGTGTGGATGGGGTAGGGAATGGCGTACTTCAGAACGGCCAGGACTTACTTTAACAAGGGGTATGTGCCACAGGCCATTTCAGCAGTTGTGCAAGCACCATAGAGCATACTTACACAGCTAACCATTATAGGCCAGTCACATGATGCAGCCAAGAGATGAGAAAAAGCTGAGTTGTAAGATGCTTTATAGCCACCCTTTTAATTAAAACAAAACAAAACAAAACAAAACAAAACAAAACAACAACAACTGTGAAGAAACATGCTAAAATTATAACAAAAATGCTAATGCAGCAGAGGGCTGGGGCTGTAGGTCAGTGGTCCAGTGCTTGTCTCCCCTGCACAAAGTCCAGGTGTCAGTCTTCAGCACTGGGAAAATGTCTGGCATGGGAAGTCCTCAGGCAAGTGACAAAGTGTGTGTCATCTCTGCAGGCGTTGGCACCGCATGTGATTGTATGCGCTCTGCTTTCATGTGATTGGCAACACAGTGGGTTTCTGTGGACCAGTGAAGAACACATTGTGCTGTAACAATTTGGCAGTGCTCCCTAACTAAGAACTTCGTAGCTTTGCTTTTAGGTCATGTCACTACTGTTGTATATGCTGTGTATTATTGATCAAGATGTTCCATACTGTATAGCCATAGGTCTAGTAGAGAAGGTTATCGAGCTCATTAAGAAGGGAAGGATATAACTAAATGTTGATCATTGTGATATTTTCTACTCCATGCCCTGCTGATAGTGCAGCATCTGGTAAATGTCCATTTTATACTTGAACTAACTGAGCCTGTCATAGCTTGTAATATATGAAACCTTGTTTTTGTGCTAGTAATCTAAAATGAGATTAGTATAACCCAGGAGGAGGCAGAAGAAATGCAAGCTTAGTGCCAACCTGGGCTGTAGATATCAAGGCATGTCTGAAAAAAGGAAAGAAAAAGCAAATAAAACTCCAAAATAATAAATTAAAATAAATGAAGTGAACTGTATTGTAATGCATTCTCTTTTTTTCTCTTTTAGTGCTGTAATTACAACAATTAACCATGATGAAGTTTGGTTTAAGAGGCCTGATGGAAGCAAATCTAAGCTTTATATTTCCCAGCTACAGAAAGGGAAATACTCCATTAAACATTCGTAATCACGATTTAAGTGTTACCTGCATCGACCTTATTAGTGTTACCAAGTGTAATGTGCCATGGGAGCCAAGAAATGTATTCAGCAGCTTACTGTTTTCATCAGTCATGAGAGAGTGTGTCTCCTAGGCAGTGCTTTAAGTAGATCCCACTGCAGTAAGTCATTAAGAGAAATAGATGCAGCTTATCATGACCATCCCATCTATTTGCCTTATAGGTCCAGTGGCTAACAGGTATATTTGGTAGGTATTTCTTTCTCAGTTTTGTTTCACTTCATGTCTTAATTATGTGTGTTTCATCTCTAATGAACTACAACTGCAGTTACCTGCAATTTTTAAATTTCCAAACTATTGTCACTATTTGTGTTTGTAAATAAGACTGATGAAATGTTTCCTATAAATGATTTGTATTAGTGCATTAGTTTAAATCAGAACAGAAATTTATACATATGTGTGAGTATGTATATATGGCGACACCAGCGTACTTAGAACTGGTGGCTTACCCATACAATCTTGTTTTACCCGAAATGAAACTGTTGGGTTTGAGAAGCAAAGGGAGCACTTTTGTAGCCTGGTTCTCCTTCTCCTCTTTCTCGATGGGGACTCTTTTCCTGATCGTACTTGATGGTTATTGGTAACAATGTGTCAAGTATGAAGACGCGGTCTGTGCTACTGTGAGCTAGTTGAGGGCCACGTTCATGGTGCACAGTGTCTGCGTGAGCGGTGGCTGGCAGCATTGTGCTGCTTCCTGCACATCTAGACTTCTGAAGATTTTAGCAAGCGTTCTCCAGGGCAGACTAGATCCTTATTCTAATTTTATTGCTAGAGTAAAATAGAAGTGGACACTTTCCTTGAATCTACCCCCCCCATTAGCATTTTAAAAAATACTCTGAGTTTTTAAGGCCATTTGGTGCAATTTAGAAAATGCTGGCCTCCCTTCCCTTAGCCACATTCAAAGTTAACTTGTAAAGCCTCTGGGACGGTGCAGAAGGTTGAAGCCCTCAGCCTGGCAGTGGCTAGCTCTAGTATGGATTTAGTGTACAGCCAAACCAAGCATTCTGGTGGCCTCATGCACTTTACTTTCTGTTACAATGATATTTGGAGGGTGAAGAGGATTCAGCCAACACTCCACGAAGGAGTCTGCATGATTCCGTTAGTTCCTTACGATTACCTCTGCAGATACCGTGCAGGGCACTGCTTCAGTTGCCAAACTAACCCTTTTGACTTTGGAAACCCAGTCAGCAACACTGTGCTGCTCTGCTGTTTCTGATCAACCTTAGCGACTATACCTACTGTCCCAATCCAGTAGCATTTGGCAGTGCTTATATATATATATATATATATATACATATACATATATATATGATGTTTGATAAGCATTTTTAATGAGATTTGTATTTTTAAATTTAGTATGTAATAAAAGTGTTTGAGTGTCATTTGTGGCGTCTTGTGTTACTTATTCACACTCTTATGTAGTTGTTTACACGCTGTCCACTTGTGGGAGGGTTTGAGCTGCTTGACACCAGCAGATCTACAGTACTGTGGAGGTGGTTCTGCCCAGCTCCTCACACTTGCACCTCTGTGGGCAGATGTAGGTGAGTGTTCAGGAAGCTAAGTTCTACTTTGCCACGCCACACATGCAGGTGTGTGCTACTTTAACATGCATACCCCGTAGTTTGAAACCCTAACCAGAAAAAACCAACCAGATGTATTCTCATCCTTACCATGAAAACTTAATTTCTGTACTCTGTTTACTTTTTCACTATCATATTAAGATCGAGGCAAATATATACTTGTCAATGACATGAATACTCTCTGATACCACTTATCAGTGATATGAAGGATTTTACTGCAGGTACTTTCCCATTAGCCTTTTTTAGTCATAAGATTTAATTTCAAAGAATGGCTGGAAACCCTGCAGTGTGCTGTACCAGCCACTGCTGCTGCTGTGTTTATGGTCAGTTTCTACTGTCTGTTTCAGGGACTTTTCTACCACAGCTCCTTGTTCATATTGAGCTCACCTGGCCTGTCATCTTGCTGTTAAGAAAGAGGTCCCAGCCAGCATCTCATTCACCAAGTCATAGCTACTCGCAAACATTAATGGATACACTTCACTTACCCCTTTATCCTGGCTTATATTGGAGGACTGAGCACTGAGTAATTTCATTCTGTCTTCAATAAAAGTTGTTCTTGCTGGGTATGGTGGCACATTCCTGTAACCTTAGCACTTGGAAGCAGAGACAGAAGGATCAGAAGTTAAAGGCCAGAATTGGCTAAATAGTTTGAGGCTGGCCTGGGCTATATGTTGGTTGTTTCAAATTAACAAACTGAAAAATAAATGCAGTGGAAATTATGTTTTGATGTACACATTGTTACCTAACATTTCACTTGCAGAGCCCTCTGTGTACCTTATCCCTGCCAGTAATTGCTCAAAAGGAATAAGGACAAGTTGAGGGGTGAGACTCTCTCTGCTTGCCTGCCTTTGGATCCCTTTCCCCTCATTGGGTTGCCTTGTCTGGCCTCATTGGGAGAGGATGTGCCTAGTCTTGCTGCAGTTTCGATGTACCAGGGAGAGTTGGTACCCATGGGGGACCTCCGCTTCTCTCTAGAGGAGAGGGGAATAGGGGGAGGAGAGAAGAAAGGGGGTAGCTGCAATCAGGATGTAAGTGAATAAATGAAAAAAATAGTGAAATTGGTTGTCGTCAGTAAGTCTGCTATAAGAATGAAAGTGCATTTCTCTTGACAGTGGGAGATAAAGAAGGGCTGACTGAGCACATTAGCTAGGATCTTTACAGTCTATTGCCACATTCGAATGTAAGCTACTGTATTTTGAAAGATGATCAGATGGAAAATACTAAAAAGCACAGGAAAGTAGAGAGGAGGCATGTCCCTTCATGGATGAGCTGCACTGTGGGCCAGTGTCTTGCCCCTCCCCCACAGCTTCCTACATTTTGTTATTTTTTTTTAAACTTTTTTATTTGTACGTGGGCATGTTTCTGCATGTATGCATGTACACATATGCAGGTACCCTGGAGTCAGAAGAAGGTCTGCTCTCCTACTAGTAGGTGCTAGGAATTAAACCCTGGACCCTCTACAAGAGCAACAAGCTCTTTAACCACTAAGCCATCCCTTAGGCCCCCTATATTTTATTTTAAGATTTATATTTTAAAACACACACTATGTGTGTGCGTGTGTGCGTGCGCGCGCGCAGGCCATTCATGAGAGTATTGGCTCCCTTACAGCTGGAGTTAAAGGCATTTGTAAATCAACAGGTTGAGTTCTGTGAACCAAACTTGGGTCCTCTTAAAGAGCAACAAATGCTCTTAAACACCAAGTCATCTCTTCCAGCCCCCTTCTGTGTTCTTTCTAGACCATGTATCTTGCCACTCTAACATATTGGAACACAGTGGCCCCTGACTAATGGGTAGCTAGTGATTAATGAAAAAGTCATAATTTGAGTGCTTGAATGTGCCACATTTGTGTTTAAGATATAAACTGGAAGTCACCAATTTTTGCATGTTCAAAACAAAATGAATAAAAATCTAAGAATTCTGACTACATATGTGTCCCATGTTGGGCTTCTTTTTTTGGCCTTAATATTTTTACTCAAAATATGAAAGGCAAAATACCATGAACATTTTGAAACAGTCTCAAATAGCTTATCTTTCAGAAAAAAGTGTGTGTGTTATGCTATGGAAAGCCAAGATTTATAAGTGTACAAATTCTCATCAAAAGTTGAAGCTTATGTTCTCTTTCAAGACATTTTATTCAAAGAAGGCTAAGAGCAGTTAGATAGCAGCACCTTTTGAGTCCTTTTCTCTCTTTTTGTGGCTAAAATAGATTTGGGCAATTTTCCTTGCTGGGAAATTGCTGTGGTCCTCTAGTTTAGAAGTAGGCTATATGGTAGCCTTTACCACTGCTACTAAATGATAAACTATGTTAAACTATGACCAAGAAGATCATCAGGCAGAGACTCAACCTTACCTTCTTTACAGGAGTATTGAGAGAGCTATTCTGCTTCGTTTGCTGCTGAAGGGCGGTGCAGCTGCCATCGATGGGGCAGCGGCACGGAAGTGCTTGCATGTGGAGGTCAGTTTAGATTTCAGTCATGTAATGTCGGTGGGTCATTACACCTACTCAGTACCTTGAGCACTTTAAATTTTGTTTTGAGACAGGGTCTCACCCTGTAGCCTTAGCTAGGAACGCTTATGTAGAGCAGGCTGGCCTTGAACTCACAGAGATCCGCCTGCTTCTGCCTTCTAAGATTGTGGCAGTTCTTTATTTGAACCATAAACTCTGTGGTGTTAGATTATATCTCGTAAATATTTAAATATATAGTAACAGTTACCCACAACACAAGAACCACAAGTCAAATAACCTCGATGAAGTCCAAAGTTTCTGTTGAGAGGCTTAGAGCAGGAGTCCAAGACTTCCACTACTCATCCTTTCATCCTTGAGAGCTTTTATTTTGTCTCTTGCTTTGTGTTGTCCAAAGGAACATTCAGGTGAGGTCATGGCCTGTGTTTAAACTGCTGAGGAGGGAGGCCGCTTTGCTGATCACTGCCTCTTTGACCTCCCAATTCCATGTAACTTTCTACCTCCATTCCAGGGCTTAGAAGATTTTATAAGATTCTGTTCTATCTTTGTCTTCCAAATAATGAGGAAGGGACACAGAAGGCTTTTGTTTTGTACTAAAGGTAGATTGTATTTTACTCTTCTGTATCTTCTTTTTCCAGTGTAATATGTCTTGGTAATTGGCTATGTTGTGAGTGTCTGCCACATCTCTGGTTGAGGCTTGGTCCATAGGGTGGCACTGTTGGTATGTGGTGGACTTTTGGGAGGTGAGATCTTAGAGGCCTTGGGTCACGGGGGGGCATACCCTTGGGAGATAGCTCTCTTGGATCTCCTTGGCGGTTCTTGGGAGGATTCTCAAAGTGTGAGCTTGGCTTTTCTCATCTGCTTCCTGCTTAAGCTGTGAGCCCTTTCTTCTGCCTGGACTCCCATAGTCACTGGCAGCTGCCATCTGCTCTCACCAGAAGGCCAGTCCAATAGAAACGTCTAGTCTTAAACTTTGAGCCTCAAAACTGGGACCCAAACACCCCCCCCCCTTCCTCTTTAAAAGTATTCCATGTTAGATGTTTCACTCTTATAGTGATGAAGATTTTGTCAGTGCAGTGATGGTCCATTATCAGCTGCTAGAGATACAGCTTGTAAAGTTGGGGCCTCATCGTGTTCTTTTTGGAATAAAGAGGTATACTGTCATCTGGGGCATACACCACGGTATTGCCAACATTTAAAATTTCCATTTCCTCCCACCTTCCTTCCCCTTAAGTCTGAAGTGAGCTCTCTTTTTAAACCTTTTTACTCTATGAAGGTGACATTTGTGGATATATCTCATTTTTTAGGCAAAATTACTGGACTGAATGGTTGGGGAATTTATATTTTACTAGATATTGCCAAACTTCTCTATAAATAAGCGATACCAGTTTATAATTCCACTAACAATATATATATAGGGATGACTATTTCTATTTCCTAATCACAGGAACCCTGGGGTAATTGTCAGTGTCTTCACTCAATGTCATTTTCCTGTGTTGCCTTGAATCTGTTTGCTTCAGTCAGCTTCAGTGAGCTAGACCCTCACTCTACTCCCTTTGAACGACTGCCCTCATTTCCTGTCTTGTCATTGTCCTGACAAATCTCACATTGATCACTGTCTTCGCCATAGCCTCATATTACATATTGCCAATGTTCTTGGTACTGCTAACATACAGAAAACCAAGGATCCTTTCCTCGTCCCCTTTCCTGGTCTTAAATAGACTCATTTTTGTTTTTGTTCTCTATTCAAACTACCATCTACCTTGAGACTTTTGTGTCAGCTGTGGTGGGTGACCTGACTTTTGGATTTTGGAACTCCTCTGCCTCTGGTTGGGAGTTTTGCAGCTTACTAACTATATGCTTGGAAACTTAACCTCTGAGGACTCAGTATCCCCATTTGAAAATTATATGATAATTAAGACTTTGTAGGGTTGTAGTGAAAATTTAATAAGTTAGATATATCAAGGCCAATGGGAGTGCTTGCAGCATGATATAACATGGAAAGGTTATATGTGTATGTATGTATATATGTTTTAATTAGTTTTTTAATGGAAATAATTTTTATACATTGTTTTCTGATTACCCCGTCTTCTCCCAGAAGAAATCTCCCTATATCCCTACCCATTAAATTCAATGCCTTCCTTCTCTGTTTAGAAAACAAACAGGTAAATGACAAACAAATCAGGATAAAAAAACCGAAACTGAACATATACATACAAACAAAACACAAAAATGGAAATCATAACACCCTAACAAAAGACTGGTAAGATTAAAAAAAAAAAAAAAAAGCCCAAACAAAGCAGTGTAAGAGAAAAACCT